TCAGTTGCTCCCAGTTGCCGAAACGCCAGTTGCATTCAGTTGCAAGGTCGAAATAGCCCTCCTTAACAAGAAAACTTGCAATTGGAGGGGAAGGACCATCATGGAAAGTATAAAGTAGAACTAGAACACTATATATAAGAAATCTGAGAAATTATATTGTTCTATATGCATCTCAATATGACATATTACATTGTTCCATAAGCATCTTGATATTCAATTAACATTCTAATCTTATTTCATCAATCCTCCAATAAAATTTTCAATGATTACTTTAATTAAAATCTTTCAAAAATTGTAAAGTGCACTTTAATTAAATGAAAAAATTCCAATATTTCTCATCAGCCAACACCCTAAAGCAATTTTTTTCTAAAAGAATGACAGAAATGGAATTTCCCTTATTTGAGATTCAAAAACAAACAACAGTTTAACACACTCTTTATCTGGGCCAGATCTGTTCATAATTCTCCACTCTAAAATCTTCATTTGAATAGTTAAAAGTCTGCTCTGACTCAGTCTTTAACATTAGTCAAAACGTCAAATAGACTTAAACCAGTTTAATACCCTGAAGCGTAATATTTCTCCTTTAATATTTTCATCATATGGGGATGACACGGTGAGCCTGCAGGAATTCCATAACTTCCATTGTCAGACTATTTTGAATGTTCATATTTTGTTTAAATTTGTGGTTATAAAATTTCCTTGATGTTAAAAGATATACGGCCTTTAGGGGTTACTCTAGTCGACAGATCTCAAGTTACGAACTATCATTCTGTTTTATTCCCGTTCAGATTAATTTCTCTGCCATGAGAAATCAATTTTTCAATCAAGCAAAGTCATCTGCACTTTTTGATTTCTTCTAAAATCAGCTTTTTGCAAGGGCTAAACCCCCTGCGGGTTTTGTTGTGTTTGTCGGACATCTTGAACACAAGACAAAACCCACCCGTATTTATGATGTTGAATCAATGGCTTGCAAAGGATTAGTAAAACGTACTTGTTGAATTGTGGAAGCAAGCATGCCTTGAGGCTAAAAAATCTGCGAAAAATTACATGGCATTAAAAAGTCTGATGACCTCACAGAAGGATAAATATTACCTCAAGTCAATGAACAACCCCAGGGTATGGCAATTCATTCTTTCAGAAATTCTACATATTTTTTCTAATATTTCCATAAGACTCTTACTCTGTCATTCTTTGGTGATAATCTCTAATTTCTAATCTTTTACTCATTATATAATAATAATATGTAAACAGAAGTACGTCTTAACAAAAAATATAAGAAAATACATTTGCTGGGAATAAAAATGTTTGCTAGCTATATGAAATCCCCTAAAAAGAAAATTTCAGAAGATGTATCTGAAACAATAGGTGAACTGAAAATGGGAGTTTCAAATGTAGAAAGATCTGGTGTTGTATAAGTTGCATCAGTCACATTCAAAATATACACTAGAGCAGTCAACAAAAGCTGTGGCTGTTGATTTAAGGAAAGTCATTTTAAACCAGCATTCTAATTATTTGGAAAGAAAGGAATAGAGTTTAATGTCTTGCCAACACAATAATTGGTCATAGTGAGACAAAGGTAAACTTTATGTAATTGCTATGGTGACGTGTACAATGCTACTCTTCTCGGAATTCCAACTATTAGGGTTTTTTCGAGGACGAACCATACTTGAAATATTAATAATTTAATCCTTTTTGTGTACAAAATGTGCATATTTATATTGGGAATTTATGATAGATTAACACTAAGCATTGCACTGTTAAGTAAAAAAAATCATCCCCCACCTCCCCCCCCCCCCCCACACACAAATTTTCCAATCAATCCTGAAGAAATGTTTATACGTCTGAGCTAAGCTTAGTTCCGAAATATATAGACCCCATTTCTCTCTATGAGCTAAGCTCCATATCTTGGCCTTTTTTTAGCAAAATCTTTGTCTTTTTTTTTTAGCAAAATCTTTTCTATTTATTTTTAGCAAAATCGTGGTTATAATTTAAACAAGGGCAAAAACTAGATTTTTGGGGGGGGGGGGAGTTAATGGTACATCTACCTTAAGTTTTATTAAATTCAGTAATCAATCTCACTTTCCATTACTTCCAATGAAATACAAAACACATCATATGATTTATTGACATATCTTAAACATTTTCCTTAACTACATTTCTCTCTCTTCTACAAGTACAGAAGTTTTCTGACATGACAGACACATTTCTCTAATGGTCACCTAATGTACACTCTCCTGGGAAGCATGAAAAATCCATCAGTCGAGTTTGTCTTTTAAAATTAATCTGTCTATCTTGTTTGTCTTGCAAATCATTAACACATTTCAAGTAATTGTAACAGGATTTAAATCGCCTTGTTCCATATGTGTCTCCATGGACTGTTTCTGCCTACATTAGACCATCATAGATTATCAATATTGCAAGGGAAAATGACCTGTAATCCTTTCCGTCTTACGCTAAGTATCATGGGACATTGATAAATGCAATGTCTTTAAAGTGAATGCATGGACATATTGGAACGCAGATGAGGTTCGGATATAATTTAATTGTCTTTACTTTTGGGAAAACATGCGTTGTGTTACTGAACAGAAGTAATTTCCCTGTTTCTTTTAAATGTTCTATGTCAACGTTAACTGTCTTGTACATATATTTAACAGCATGAAAACTGATCATAAATAAACATGTATCTTTTAAATGTTTATAGCATGTTTTAGAAATGAACTAGCCAGTTAATTGTTTTTCTTGAAAGAATACATTATCGAATATAAAGCTATCAATTCTCAAAGGACAATGTTGGTGTTCACCAATTTTACATATGTGATAGAAATGGTTAAACACATTCCCAATAATCTTTAACAAAGAAATTTTTGCCTTAGTTGAAGATTCTGGAAGGGATGTATAAAAAGTAAATCAGTTATAGTTACCAACTGAAATAGAGAGCTGTATCTACATGGAAGTTCTTCAGGGTATAGTTACAGATCAACTGTAGCTAAGATCTCTATGTTAAAATCATATTTGTAATGTGTTTAACCAAAACTATTACATACATACATAACATTGGCTGACACCAACTTTGTCCTTTAAGTAAACAGTTTTAGAAAGATGTTTTTTGAGCATAAATTCATCTGTCTTATCCATAAAACATTTTTATCTGAAAATATTTATAATGATTAGGAAAAATAAAATTAACCACAGTGTCTGACTTTGTTATTTTAGTGCATGCTTTACAAACATTAGGACCACAACTGTCAGGAAAATAAATCTTAAAACCAAAATGATACGAATCACAAACCTTTTCTAATTAATCAACCACAAATTCACACCCCAAATAAGTATTCTAACCATCGTCATGAGATACTAAGAATGTAACATTATCGCAACTATTTTTATGAAATTAGTTTTCTATTATCTGAAATAAAAACTTTAAGTCAGCTCAACTAAAGAATATTGAATTTTCTTTAATAGCAACTCACTGACCGTCGGCTCTAATCACAGTATCAAAACCCAGTTTAAATTTATATGCACACATTTAGCTAGACACGCTATTTCATGATAACTCAACTGCTTGCTGGCTGATCATCCACAGGGATTATATTTTTAGTGTTTTGGCATGTACATAAATTGGACAAGCAACACATTTGCATTTCTATCTCCTCTGAGATTGCAGTAAAGTAAATGAGTAAGAATGAATCTAATGTTGATGAATATTCTATGAATAACTAGTGTATTTTGTAAATGTATCTGCAACCATTGTCACGTCAATGCCATTTCTATAACACTGCAAAATAGAGTCATTCCATTGCTAAGAGTTTCCAATGTTAAAGGAATACTCCAATTGATTCTATAAGAGTTCATCATGATATAAAGGTGTTGCCCTGTACAGTATTTATTTATATATCGTCCACATAACACTTTGAATCCATTACCCCTCGTCATCAGACTGCCTTTTCACACTTTAGGCTTGTCTCATCTGAGGAAAGAGGGGTTGGATGGCTGAATGGTTAGCACGTGCGCGATATATCATAAGGTCTGTCATTAGTCAACTAGCGTGGTTTCGGTTCCTTGCTTGTACGTGACAATGAGTAGGGTCGCCTGTTCAACCTTGTGGGTTTTCTCGGGGTCCATATGTTAGTCCTGAAATGACCTAGTTTGTGTCGAGTGGACGTTAAACCCCATTTAAATTGGTGCTTCCAATTTCTTTGAGCATAAATATTTACTGTTAATATAAGGAGCTTCAAGTTTTAAAGGCTTAAACATTAAAGTAATCATTTTTCTAAAGTACATGTTTAATTTAATACAAGTGAACTATGGCAGAGGGCGAAGGAATATTTCCCCAACCTATACCATCCTAATCTGCAAGGAAGCCACAGTGAGTAAGGCAAGGAACCCAATGACTAGTCTTTCGGATGGGTTAAAAAAAACCTGAGATCCTGTTTACATGCTGGCGTACATGTAATAAGAGTAGGCCATAGCACTGCTGTCCAGACATCATTTCCCTCATAGTACACTGCATGGCATAAGATGTCTTCGTTATCCTGGTTGAAGCAGAAAAGTAGGATGTTATACCCCATTTCATTTCATTCACTTCTTAATCTGCAAGGCTGGAATTGAATACTCACTTTGTTGAGGTGGGAAACAAAGCAGCCAAGGTATATTGTTATGCCAATATGGAGGTTACGTTATTTTACAAGACCATTTTATCATCCAATGTGTAAACATGTATAATCTTTAGGGATTTAATTTAATAGTAAATTCAAAAGCAGGTTTTTCTTTAAATATATTCAGTAGGTATAAAATTCATATTTAGCTATTAGTAATATTTTTTTACCGGTAAAGGAAATGAAATGAAATGAGTTTAACATCCTACTTTTCTGCACCCACTTAGCTAATAAAGATAGTACCTGTAAAGATCCATCCATTTTTAAAGTTATGATTTACATTAATTAATTATGTCTGACAGTCTGTTTCAATTTCTGCAAGAAAACAATATATAAATATCCTACCTGATTATGTCGATTAACAGGATTTAACCAGGATTGTGCATTTTGTTCAAGATAAGCCTGTGCTTGAGCTGCTAATGGTATACCAGACGACACACATGAACTGTACTGACTACTTTTTGATGTCCGTGATAAATATCTGAAGAAAAAAACATAAATATATTATGAAGCTAATATGTTTTAAGCCAATATACACTGTATGGCTGCTGATAAAAAATCTAAATCATTTTGAAGCCAGAATAGTCAATCCAATAATTGTATCATTAAACCTATAGAGAGAAAGTCTATTCCTCCTGGAGCTTACCTTACAATATCGTAGACTAGAATTTGTATAATCAATTAATAAGTTTACTTTCGATAAAACACCCGCGTTCAAAGAGTAAGCACATTCCATCAGAGACGGCAGTCGTGAAAAAATGTTCAAATTAAGAGAAGAAATAAAACGGTAGCTGTTGGGGTTATTGATCCATATTAATAATTCTCCACAGCCGACTCGTAATGGTAACAATTCTATAATCCTTGCCGCATTCAGACATACAAGCAGCCAAACTAACTGATTATAGTCAAAGGCTCAAATTTACTGATTAGGAAATTGAAAATGTTGTTTTTGATTAGGGCCTGTTTGTGTAAACTAACCTTCATTTTCCATTATTGATATTTTTATGAAGCCAGTCAAATAATTGACAGACATGATCCAGACAGGATATTTCTAGGTCATGCTTGAATACAAATAATCCATCTTAAAAAAGATCATATTGATTTTAGGACAGATTACAGACAGATTTTTTTGTCTAAAAACATCACCCTCTCACTTTCATTCTATTTGAACATAAGGAGCTGTGAGTACTATTGTGATTGAATGTAAATTTGTATATTTCTTATTGAATATACTGATAATAGTTTTTTACGAAAAGGTAATTATGCAAGATTGACATACGTAGTTCTGATTTTGTACAGGTCTACTGAATAACAAGCATTGGTCACAAACACAATAAAATTAAATGTACACATAATTAAATGAATTTTCATCTTATGGTAAAGCAGCTGGTTAGATTATTTAAGAGTTAAAACAGTAACTTGTTTATGCAATGTATACAATAAAAATTAATTCCGACCAGTGTTCAAATACATAGTCCAGCACATGAATTTGTCAAAATCGACAGCAGGTGGCCTCAGTACATGACAAAAATCTCAAAAATGAAGTTTGTAAATTCTGATTGCAAAGTATTAATACTTTGATCTAAAAGGTAATTAGCAGATAAACCAAGTTACGCAGAATGAAAAAAAAAAATTTACAAGGAATAGGGCCGGTGAGAGGGATCTAATATTGGGAATCTAATATCACATTCATATCTACCAATAAAACCTAGATTAAAGCCTTTCTTTAAGGTAATTTAACACCTAATTTTTATATTAATCTTTTAAAATATATAAATACGATATATTTACATAAAATATACTCACATTTCTAACACTGTGTACAAATTTTAAAATAAATAAATCTGAACTTTGAAAATCAATATATGTGAATGATATTATGATAGGGAGATCGTCATCATGTACATCTAGCATGTCATCTAAATCTTGTGGTTAATTACGACTAGTTAGGATTATTTCAAGGTTTTTAGCGTGAAGGGTAATTTACGCAGGAACCATGAATGGTTAATAATCAGACCTGCAGGCTGGTGACAATAATTCCTAGTGATTAGACCGTTCTTGGTCAGTTTATAGTCTTTACCAACGTCCAAACCTCAACACTTCTTGACCAATTGATTTTTATGTTTGGCTTTAATTATTCATTTGACTTTATTGATGATAACTGTCAATGTCTTGTTTAATTATTTTCTCTTTATCATTTCATGTTTGATTTAATACTACTAGTCATCCTAATTTCTTTCATCCCACCACCATTTCTCTACAGACTATTCTATTGTGATGAATTGAATAACAAGGTGAGCATGTCATAGGTTTAATGAATGAATGAATGAATGAATGAATGAATGCACTCCAATGTGTCAAATGTAAGAATTGGAGTCCAGGATATTAAAACATTTTGATAGCTCTTCCTTTGATGTGTCTTGAAGATACTGTGTACTAGGCTTAGGTATAATATACGTTACAGATAAGAATTGAGTTTTCCTGTATATTGTGTCATATGAAATGAAATGGGGTTTAAGGTCTTACTATTCTACACCAACCATGTTCCATATACATCAGTACCTAATGCGTCAAAAATTACATAATTTGCTTCCGGATTGTTCTGTTACTGAGGTATATGTACCTGATAAGCTCAAAAGTCAATTCATATATTTTTACATGAAACATTTATCCATTTAAATTAAACTTTTACTTCCATTGTCATATATATATACTTATGATTAGGTTCAAAAGTATCAGTATATGATCTATTTAAAGTAATCTTTTATTTCCATTAAATATGTCTAGTTATGTCATAAATGCTGCTGATAAACTCCAATTTCAGTGAGCTTACACAATCACATTGTAAAAATACATGAATCATACTTAAGTTGAATAAAATAACAGAGTTTAAACTTGAATAACTTTTTTCAGAATTCAGTAGTTCGTATTTTAGGTCTTTATCAAATAACAGATCCATTTATGTGGTGAAAGTACAAATGAGAGAGAGAGAGAAATGGGGTTTAACGTCCACTCGACACAAACTAGGTCATTTCGGGACTAACATATGGTTGACTCAATGACAGACTTTATGATACAGACTTTATGATACAGCGCGCACGTATCAGCCATCCAACCCCCCTAAGTACAAATGAATGGTGAGCATTAAATGCTTGGTTCTGGTAGTTTACTTAACAGTACCATGACCTCAAGTTGATCACCATGTTTTCACCACAATGGCATGTATTGTAAATATATCATGGAATTATATCCTTCCTTTTATCACAATTCTTGTGTATTTGATAAATTCAACGCTTGCTTAACTTCATGCCTAATCAATCAATCAATCTTAGATTTCCTGGATTAAAGGTAAGCATCACTGACCAAAAGTTTTTATAGAACATCAGAGTCAACATCTATCAAGTCATTTCCTCCTCTATTTTCTATATCTATTTTCGGAGTTAGATGAACCTATCATTGTCATTTAATCCAATCAAAAATGCAGATTTCAAACATAAACCGCATGTACTAGAACTTTTTCAGAAATCTCTCTTGTCAATTTGGGCCATTTTCAGACTGCGAAATGCCTTCTTTGTGTTGAAAAGTTGAGAAATCAATATCAGTCAATTGACATCCAATGAAATTAAAAGAACTAACTTCATTAAATTGAAACAGATTTTTAATTCTTAAATGCTAAAACTAAACAACAGAAACAGTCATACTTCTACTGTATTTTAATATGTAAATGTAGTACTGTAAGAGTTATAGTTACCAATATCTCTTGAAACTTTTACACACAAAATCTTAAATTGAGCTCAGATCTAAGAAAAACTCTAACAATGAATACATATTCTATTGGCTGCATTTTTTTTATATTTTTTTGGCGAACATCAACAATTATTTTTTGGCAATAGCTATTTAGATTACAATTTGATATGACATAAAAGATATCTATTTTATTGGTGAAGTTGGCTCTTTAAGCCTATATCCAATATGAAAAAATTTGATGCTGAATTTTCAAAGTTCACTATCATATCCTATTATAAATCATGTAATATTTTAAAAGGGAATTTGTGTAGTTTTATAAAATACTATCTACTAAATAAAGAACAATGACAAAAACACAGTGGGGAATGTTGTTCCATTACTGACAGAAAAAGGAGACGAAATCTCATAAAACTATGAAATATGATGGTCATTATTTTGGAAGTTACAAATTTTTCCACTCCAGAATATTTGAATATCATAAATTGTTATGTAAAGCGATGTAGGAAATGAAGCATGGTACTTTCATTTCTTTATATGATCAAAAAATGCATTGAAGCATGTTCCCCTGCTTCATATTGATTGGTATATTCATGACGGCAAATTCTCTTACAGCATTTAATATCTTTGATTCGCTTTCTCTGCAAATTTTATTACATCATTTAAAAGTATGGATGACTTGACATGTGACCAGTTTCAGCATTACATCATACTAAATCATGGCCCGTATCAAACTCTTTTTCCAATTCCTCACTTCTATCAATTGTTCTCATAATTCCCAACTGAATTTTACTGAACTATTCTCCAACAGAATGAAATGTCAATAGCATCCAGTACTGTATGTATGGCTTGCTTTATAATTTGTACTGAATAGACCATGTTGCCTCGCACTTGTACAAAATCAATTAAGAGATATCATATATGTAACCTAAACTTTTTTTAATTCCAATTGGCGAGTTAAAGATTCAATTTGCATTTTTTTAAAATTTTCTAGAGGTAGAATTATTTACTCCAAGCAATGACAACACTTCCACATGTACATCAATTTCTAGATGACACGACATATATATTATGCATTATGCAATGAGCTCAAAAAGTAAAATCAAATTATCTGCCAAAAAAGTACACAGCCTGAAATATATCCTCTAGAAATTACAGCAAGAGAAGCGCTAAGCAGGGATATTGTGATGCTATGCTCTCCATTTTTAACAGGCTAAAACAGCATAGAAACTACAAAATTAGTACTTTTATCTGTGCCGAACACTAAAAGAATGGGATTACACATTCAGAGATTGATCAAATTAGTTACATTTTCTGATAAAATTTATTATAAATCTGGGCTTAATAAAAGACAACGATAAACTGTCCAGACTCCAGATGGCAAATTTTTTAAGCTTAGCTGCTGCTCCAGATATCAATGATATAATAAAATGCTGGTAATCAATGGGAGACATCCATTCCTTGAGATAAATATTTCATACCAAGAGTGTGACAATCTGCAATACAGGATGAGTAATGTCCCTGCAATTTAACTTGTCAATTTCCAAATAAAGAGAGTTGTCTCCCACTAGCCACTGAAAGTTTTATCACAGCCACTAATTCAAGCGTAGCATGTACTTTGATATCCAAAATGTCTAACTTTTCCTAGCTTTTGTTTTGTGGCTGTTTTACTTACTGATAACAATAGAAAATCATATGATAAGACCTTGTTTTGGGGCGTTTTTTTTCCGTATCTTCCAATAAATAAGTAATAGACGGTAAGACAAAGTATCTTTTAAATGGTGAATGATTATGCATTCAAACATTAAAGCCAAGGACGAAATACACATAAAAAGTTCCTAAACCCTACGAACATAAAATGAATGAATGAAATGGTGTTTAATGTTCTGTTTTTCTCCTCCAACTGGGCTAATGAAGATGGCAGAATGTAACAATGTTCAGCAAATCGGACAAAAACAGGGAACTTTTTATAGTTTGACTTTCCTCTATGACGTCAACAATCAAAATAATGATAAGATAGATTATGTAAAGATACTAAATGGTGATAAATTGTTTCTAGCTGGTCTTACCTGTTGGATTGATGATTACGTTGATGTGCACCTATATTATAGGATCCAACTAAAGCAGGTATATTTGCAGGAACAGATGAGGCACTTTGGGCTTTTTGGATGGACTGTATCATAGCAACAGCTTCTTGTTTTAACTGTCTTATAGGAGTTTCACAAACATCACAGCGTTCTCGCTTCACATACCGACGAAAATTATCAGGCACTTGTAACATTTCTTCAACTTTCATATAACTCACAGGCTGAAAGAATAAATATTCACTGTATCAATCGAACTATTTTTAAATCAAAAATACTTAAACCTGACTACATTCTACATGTTGTACATGACCCAATCCTCTGCCAATTATCAACCAATCCTCTGTGAAGTATTGAACCAAAACAAAAAATGTTTTCTACATATATTTAGGGCAAAAGAAAAACTCTCCTAAAATGCAGTTTACATTTTGCCTGTAAGCATAACTAAGTTGCACCCAACTGACATTCTAGTGACCAATGATTGCTGATGGACAAATAGACATTATTAGGGATCTTTCACATCAGTACAAATATGAAAACTAAAACTAAAACATCATCGATTCAGGTGTACTTGTGATGTCAACCCGTACATGAGTGTTCAGCCAGTGAAGAACGTTACGCATGTGGAACTGGATTTACGTAGGTATGGAAACGAAAATGTTTCTTGCCTCATATATTTATAGTCTGAATAATAGAATTTCAGGTGATTCAGATACAATTGGTTCATTTAATGAAAAAGCTGCACTATCTAAGCTTCTAGGCCTAATTTTAAAGATGAAGGCCTAATTCTCTTATTTATTTCAGCTATTATCGTATGTCGGATTGCGAAACCGTATGTTAGGAGATACGAAAATGAAAACGTAAATGAACATTCGTTCTTTTTCTTACCGATGTGAAAGGTCCCTAGTACAAAGTAAAACAATAACAATCAACATTTGTTAATTGTTATGTTTTATTTTTAATTGACGTCAAGTTGACACATATAATAATAATTCACAATCAAATGGAATGGATTTGAATGTCTCATCAACACAATACGTCCCAATGATATTTTTCATTTTAATGGTTAGATGTAATATTACACAGACAGTGGCAAATCTAACAGTTAAAGATTCTTCATGTGGACATCAACGTGTACAAGGGTGGAGTTCTGTTTTCCCACTCCATCCTATCCGAATGACTAAGTATCATTTTATTGTCAACCTAGCAGGATGCACTCCTGGCATGGGGGCACTGGGATCAGTGGCGGCGCCAGCCGTCGGTGATTGGAGGGGCAAAGCTGGGGCAAAGTCCAAGGTTAAGGGGGCAAAGGCACGAGCTTCAACTAGGGGTTGGGGGCCTCCCCCAGAAAATTTTGAAAAACAGGTTGCCGGAAATGCAGCCTGACAGTATTTCAGGCACTGATCGTTGAGGTAAAGTGTCAAACGAACGGACTTGCGAATCACGACGAAGCCCACTCATGAGCGTCAAAGTAGGGAGTCCTCCCCCTGAAAATTTTGAAAAATAGACTGCTGGAAATGCTGTCTTACAGTATTCTGTCAGGCACCGATCGTCGAGATAAATAGATCTGCCCAGATACCGTTCGTCGCCTGATCACTAGTTTATACGACTAGAGAACAAAATGTCAAACGAACGGACTTGCGAACCTCAACGAATTCCCCTTGTGAGCGCCAAAGTAGTGAGTCCATTGGGGACCTCGCCAAGAAAATTTTGAAAAATAGACTGTCGGAAATGCTCTACAACATGCAAGTTTATGACTGAGTGGGGATGTGGGATTTATTCACCGTAGAAGGTATTGATTACCGAAACGTATCACAAATACTTTTTTTTATTTTCTAAAATTATTGGGGGGGGGCAAACACAGGGCAGACCAGATTAATGGGGGGGCAAATTAAAAAAATGTGTTTGACCCATGTGTCATCTCAGCTTAAAGGAGTTATAACTTTTTCATTTATGTCATAATATAGTATTGAACTGAATTGATCTACATCATCAAGTTCAGTTGAACAAAATATGTCAAGTACTTTAAGAGAATAAGATAAAACTACTTAAATAACCCTCACACGGGATGGCCTGTCCTGTTCCACCTCTACAGAACTGACCCCCCCTTTCATCTTAACAAAGTTATCTTCGTCATCTACCATGATCCCAACAAAATTTCACATAGATCCTTTCAGCCATTCTAAAGAAAAAGATGACTTCAGTTTGCCCCTTAATCAACTTCACTGGAACAAATCTGAATCAATACCATCCAAGCAATAAACGGTACCTACCAAATTTAACTAAATTCCATCGAGGAGTTTTCAGAAAATGTACAGTATAATAGTTCACAGGACTGGCAACCAGACTATGCACCAATGACAGAGAGAAGTGATGACATAAGCGATGACATAAGCCCTTTGGGATGATGAGACTAAAAATGATAATTGTTTCTAAAAACATGACATAACTCAAAATGTATTATCTTATGTTCTCAATAAAAGTAATAAAAATTTCTGCCTGCAAGTTTCTGTTAAAACTCAACAGGAATAATCTTGTCAAGTTAATAATCTATTTCTCAAAAACAAAAGTATCATTTCATGACAAAAAATACATACAATGTCTCTAAAAAATCAACGTAGGTGTTAAATATATTACATAACAGACTGTTTTTATTCTGAAACATACAAATCATACTGAAAATACCTTTTTTTCATGTACTCATGTAGGTGTATCTATTTTAAGTGGAAACTGAAATTTTCAATAAAAAGTCCAAATTCCATCTATATTTATAAGGATTTTGAATTGATTGTCCCTGACATCAATATACAAACGATCCAAAGGACAGCTATAAGCTCCCAATAATTTGCAGCTAATTTTACATTTTATGTGGGTATATAATCATTGATCAGTGTTGTTAAATGTATAATATTAGTTTCTAAAATATATATTACTTTTAGAACTTCAAAACTGAAACATACCTTGATAACTTTAAGACAGCCTTTTGGAATTCACTACAAAAATTTAAACAATGAAATATCTCCTAGTTGTCTCTATCAAATATTCTCTGTCAAATATTTAGCTTTACAGATGTATATATATATATATATATCTATACAGGTGACAATCATTTAACTCAATGTGATTGTATAATATGTCAATCTGAGACAACATGAACCAGACCTCCTGTCAACTGATTTCATTGGTAACTTTACCACTAAACTTACATCAACTGATCCAAAGACGAAGATTCCACTTTAATCCCATTGATGTCTATACTAGACTTCCTTTGTCATTTCTAAAATACATCAGTCTTATCTTTCAATAGACTAAGCTGGAGATCATGCAAAGAGTATTTAGTGTATTTAATAAAGGTAGGAAGATATCATAATATTTTAATAATATCTTGAAGTAAATGTAGATCAAACAATGTGTGAGCTACTGGATAATATAGTCAGCTTAAAAAATCTAATGCCTTTTTATACTGCATGCACATTAAAGACACAACAAGCCAGATCATTCACTATTTTAATCTTAAGACAATTTATTTTCATGTAATTATATATTTTTCAGTTAAATTTCCTTCTTTTATAACCCTTGTCGGTGCGCATTGTGAGAATCACATAGCAGGTATCAAGGGGTCCATATGGACCCCAGTTATAATTTAAAGTTTTTACATACAGGTATATTTGAATTAAAAGGCAGCGGTTTAGTTTTTATTTGTATTCATATTTGACAACTGAAAAACAACTAAATTATTATACAAAAACATTTTAGTGACATTTGGAAAAGATTTAATAATTCTCACAAAATTGCTACTTTGTGTACTATGTGATAAAGAGGTTAAATGGCAATTCACGCTTGATACAAAAACCATTGAATATTTGGAATTTATCATTTAATTTTTGGTATTTGTAACATGCAGATGTTAAAAGAGAGAATACTCTGGTATACGCAATATGGTATTAGGCAGCAAAAACATTAGCAAAATCCCTACTGTGAGTTGTTTGGACCCTTGTTCCCTTCAAGCGTTGGGTCTGATTTGCATGTAACAGAACTCTGCATGTGGGAAGCAGATGAATACCGAACTCTTCACTACGTGTAAAAATGTATAGGAGACAAAGTCACAAAATTTCAGAAAGCAGTGCCCAGTAGTTATTATAATACACAATAAAACATGTGATTATCTAGCAGTGTTATTTTCATTCTGTTTTCTTAATTGAATGTTAAAAATGCATTATGTAAGATTTCTATAAAGAGCTAACAGTTCTCACTATAACATTTTAAAAATATATAATCAAAAGGGAATATGTTGAAAATTTCCATCCAATTATTTCATTCTGAGTGGAGTTACAACCGATTAAAGAACAGTGTAGTCTTGATTGTCATTGCAATCGTGTTTAAATGCATTGAAAATATAAACCATTCGATGATCTAGAGAGTGTATTATGGGCTTGGCATACGAATATGGTAAATGTCTAATCAATGAATTAAATAACAAGAAGGATCTAGCTCTTACATAATGCATCTTTAAATACTGGTGATCAATTAGAACATATTAGCGTGGATTAATCTGTGAGAAATTTGATATTTTCCAAAAAATACAAATTATGCATCGTTACTTTAACTTTTAATGAGAAACCGACTGAATCAAAATTGAATTCCAATACCTAAGACCCAATCAATTATTGATATCAAAATAGATCTTTAGACGGACACACGATTATTGTATTGTAATTATAGTATCTAAAAAACCCAAACATTTCATATTTATCTAATCCAGCAATTACTGAGATACATAAACACAATCTCACAGCATGAGGCAATATTGTTTTAGAATAATCATGGAACCGGCAGATTTATAGACTAGGGCTGAATATTACAGCTGAAAACAATATTGCAATACAATGCAATATTTATGCACACTGAAGATTGTTTAATAATTTGTATTTCATCAACGTAATGTGTATTTCTAATTATTTAGAAATGAACAATGGTCATGTAACAACTTGAACTGGGCTTTATTTTTATTTAAGTCAGTAAATATATTGAACAGTTTTTTGTAGTGATATATTAATATTAATAAACACCAATCAAGCAATGAATTGTTTTCTTTTCCATCTGAAAAGACATTGTAAGGTGATTTTAACAATTTAAGAATGAAATATTTGCAAATATGAAAAAAAACTATTATTCATTAAATTATCATGATATATTGACTTTCAGAAATTGTATCACTATATATATTTCTTAGTCAAAATATATCA